GCGATCCACAGGATGAAGAGGAGGACGACAGTTGACAGATTCGCACGAGCATCACAGAGATGTTTACTACGCCATAGAGGAATTAATCAGTTAGACTTAAAGAACATTGAGTTAAATCATTCATCCTTTTAAACATATAACCACTAATATTTTGTAATTAATTTGCTGTATAACCTATTCCTAGCTTATACGAGAAGTATTGAGAGGAAACACTTCAAAAAATGCATTTAACACTCGGGCGATCCCCTGCAGAAGAAGAAGAAGAAGAAGAAGAAGAAGAAGAAGAAGAAGAAGAAGAAGAAGAAGAAGAAGAAGAAGAAGAAGAAGAAGAAGAAGAAGAAGAAGAAGAAGAAGAAGAAGAAGAAGAAGAAGAAGAAGAAGAAGAAGAAGAAGAAGAAGAAGAAGAAGAAGAAGAAGAAAATTTGTGCGTTGCTGGCTTATAGTGTTAATCAGATATAGAAAATTAGCTATTTATACAGATCTGATGGAAAATATTACTATATGGACGGACTATCAGCGCCTGAGATATTTCTGGAAACCTCAGTGGAGTCAATCTAGAAAGTTAGAAGTTATCTTAACCAAATTTCGATGTCACATCCCCTCATTCAACTTTTATTTACACAGAGCTTGTCTAGCAATATCTCCCCTGTGCCCATTCTACGAAGAAGCAGAAACATTAAAGCATTACTTTATAATATGTAGGAACTATTATTTAATTACGAAAGGACTTCTAGTTGTTCCGTTTGCCACAAAAGACTTAAATATAACTACAGATAATGTTCTCAGTTTCGGCGCCTCTTGCGTGGGACATTGCCACAGAAACATTTTTGATGCTCTATGCAATTTTATTCAAGAATATAAGCGCATGTCAACATAACGCCTGCTTAAATACATTCTTGACGACTACTTTTGATATGACTGATAATGTGAATGCAAGTCGAACATTCGTTTCATTTTGACCGGGGTGAGATGAACTCCACTGTCTGGTCTACTCAAAATTTAAGTCTCCTAAATAGTAATAGCTCTGCTTTTCTCTCATTGATTAATATCTATTTTATTTTAATAATCATTTTTTTCTTTTATTATTATTTTTTATTATTTTATTATTCTTGTTCTTTTAACAACACGCTCTCAATCAGTTGATCACATACAGGCCACAACAAGATTTCATGGCCTGTCCCCCAGTATGGCTATGTACCAGTACTTTGAAACAAGAAAGAAACAAGCTGGCTCTGCTCGCTTAACCAGCTGTAAATATATCTGTACCTACTAAACCGAGTGGGTCTCTTTCTCGTAACATATTTGGTGGAGTTGTGCCATCTCCGTCCTCGTCACAGAACTCCGAAGCGGACGCTCACTCCCGGCTTTCAACATGACCACTCAAGACTCGCCTACATCATCCCCGGTCGCCCGGTCTCCTACCCTGCCCGCCCATCCAGCGGCCGCAACAGCTTTCGTGACGCTTCCCGCCCTCAAATATCCTGACGTGTTCTGGGTACTATCTAGTCCGCTGTATTCTCAGGCAGTGACGGTTTCGACGTCGACCAATGGCTACGCCTCTACGAAGGTGCCAGTGCCACTTACAAGTGGGATGCCACACTTATGCTCGCAAACGCCATAGGCGTATCAGCAGGGGTGCGGGGCAAGGGGGGCGCGAGCTCCTACTGAGAAAAGTTCGGGGGGGGGGGGGGAGGCTGAGCCTTCTCTCTTTCGACAAAGGTCACTGTCGGCTGCACGCTGAGGAAACCAACAAGTAAGGCGAATTTTGTCACAGCAGTAATCACTCAATTATGCTATTATAGAATGAAAATGTTACGAGGCTATGTTAAAACATAGGAAAATTTTGCCAACATTTCCTCTATGAATATTTTTCTTGTAGGATCTTTGTGGTGCGGATCGCCTGTGCGACACTTTCGCGTCTTGTGATGCATTATTACAAAACAGGCAAGCGCTGAACAGAGGCCCTATAATAGTACATCACTTGTTCATGATTTTCATTCTGCTGGGACTTGTTGATGCAGTTACCAATAGGTACGAGGAAACTTTTTAAAGACCAGTCAAAGATTTTCCTTTTTCCTGAAAAAAAAAATTGAAATTATATATCATCACCGCTACTCTTTCGAAGCTGTGGCGAGCCGATGAGTGTGACGAATCGGTTTTTATGTTTACGTTTTTCTGTACTCAAACGTCAAAGATTGTTTCTGCTTTAGAGTCTGATAAACCTGATCAACATTGCTTATGGTGCATTCAGACGACGGACCGAATCCGGATTTGTCATGGACGCGGACGGCTAATCCGCGGATAATCCGCCTGCAGGTGCATCCACATGACAGATGATAACCTAGGAGAAATTGTGGTTATAAAACGGAAAAGAAAAGTGAGCCCCGTAACTGTCTGCATCTGGTGCGATACCTCAACAGTAGCTCGCAAGGAATGGAGGTCCTATGGTCTAGGATAATACAGCCGCATTTCCCTCGACAGCAGATTCGGCGCTCATCTGCGCCTGCTGGCAGCAGACTGGTTTGAGAGTATTGAACATGGATGCTCGCCAGAAGTGACGCTTGGCTGCGATGTCTGTCGCGTTGTGACAAATGAATGAGGAGTGTTGTTCTTTCAGGATGAAAGGGAGTTGCTGGCAGAATGTTCTTTCAACTACATTGTTGCCCACTTGTAGAACTTCTAAATGCATCTCCCATCTTTTTTAGAAGCGGCACGTCGCTGGCTGTAGAGGCTAGAATGTTTCACCACAATGACGGCTGTGGTGAAATATGACGGCTGTGGTGACATGTCGCATGTCAAATGACGGCGCTGACATTTCCCGAACTACCAAAAGTGATTTCTGCGTATTTATTCACCTGAGAACTAAGCCCCCAGAAACTAAGTAAACCATGCTCAAGCGTAGATGATGCCGACCAGTCAAGCAGCTGTCCGCGAGCCATGGAGGACATGTCGTGAGCAGACGAAAAGTGTACTGGTTTCCAGAAACCCCTAGCTAATCCGCTGAAGTGTCAGCTTTCTCCCGCCAGAATCCCGATGTGAAAAACAGGTTGGGGTGATCCGTCCACGAGCCGCGTGGACGAGTCGCGGACCAGGGGAATCACTGATGTGAGGTCACATGACGCGCCGTCTGTCCCACCACATTCGGATTCGGTCCGTCGTTTGAATACACCGTTATGGTAACTTAGAGCCATAGCGGCAGCTTGCTAAGTGGCCACGAATAAAGCAGTGGACACGAGCTCAGTAGGCAGCTCAGCGTTTAGGCTTGCCCCACAGCTTTACCCACCGGATCAGGAAGAAGGTGAAAGACCGTGGTTTTCGGCACTATACAGGGTTAGTCAAGAGTCAGGCTGGTTGATTTTCACTCAACTAGAATTGTCTTTTACAATACGAAATACATCTCGGATAACAACGAAGCACACACGTGCGGCGCTGCTTATTTCTCTCTATTCCTCTTTTTCTAAGCAAATATGAGCTCACAGAGATGTATACGAGCGCAAACTACTAAACACTGTTATGCTGCAAGTAAAAATATTTTATTATACTCCAAATCTATCTCACCAGCTGCTATAAGTAGCCGCTGCTTATACGATTGGCAGCTAGCCTATTTCAAATACATTTGGAAGGAGATTTCAAATTTATGTCTAAAGCTTGCAAATTTACGTTGTATCTATCTATCGTTTTTACAATGTATTCATCGCATACATGCTCTTTATTTCCTTTTTACTTCTTTCTTTTAATACTGCTTTTCTTCATATCTATTTTTGCAATATAAATGAACAATACTTTTTGGCGCTTACATTATTCACCATTAACACATGGTCTAACCTATTCACAGTGCGCACGCATGTATTTATATGTTTTGGGGTGTTTATTATTTACATAGTCATCATTCCTGCTTTATCATAATCACCATCATCACCACTGTGGGTCATCGTCATTGTCTGTGTGCAAGCTCTGCCCAGTCGTTTTGCGAGGTCTTCACTCGAATAAACGCTGTCGTAACCAAGATGTCATACGTGGTGGAGGTAGATTTTTGGTTCTTTTTCCTCCCGCAGCCCGCTCTACCCCCTGCGGCTTCAATCAGGCCTCCAATTGGGCCCACTGCCAATACCACCTAAATTCCACTGTCCGGCAGCATGTCGCAGGAGGAGTCTGCCACCGCTGATGTCATCTGTCGCGTGGTTTGTGCGCGAATAGGCCCGGGCACCCAAGAACCGACACGCACAAGCTGGCTCCCTGGACAAAACTTGTTTCAAGGCCTTAGTTCTGAGTTGGCATCCCTTCAACAGCTGGGCTGGGCTGGGCTGAAACCAACAAATCCTGTAGTATCCAGATAGATGAGCAGGGCCAGATGAGGGTCACTCGACTTGTGGAACATGTCTTTGACTGTACGGACCATCCCCTCTGCCTCTCCGTTCGATTAAGCATAGTATGTACTACTGGTCGCATTTTGAAGCCGTACAATGCCGCAAATGATGCAAATTCTTGCGTCGAGAATGGTGGGCTGTTGTCTGACCTGACCTCGTGCGGGATTCTATGTCTGGCAAAGATGCTTTTGAGAGCGTCGAAGACTGCCTGATCTGTCGTGCTTCTCAGGATAACCACCTAAGAGAACCTCGAGTAATAGTCCACCACTAGAATGATCATCTGACCATTGAGGTGGAATAAGTCTCTTTCAAGAAATTTCCAGGGACGTCCAGGTAGGGCCGTGGAGACCAGGGGTTCAGCAAGGTTCACGCGGGTGGAGGCATACTGTTCGCAAAGCGACGAGAGAGGCAATGTCTGCATAGATGCCCAGCCACCAAACCGATTCCCGAGCTAGTGCTTTGGTCCTGCTGATGCTATGGTGACCATGCAACAGTCTCAAGACCACAGGCCGAAGGGATGTCTATACAGGGGCCTTTGAGCAAAACGCCATCGCAGACTGAAAGTTCACGTCTAGCGCAGAGGCGTACTTCGAAAGAAGCAGTGGCATTTTTTAATTATGTGGCCAACCCTACTAGCAGAAAGAAATGACAGCCTTGCACTCCAGTCCAGTCATCGGACTCTTGTGTCTGCTGTATGTCTTCATGGCTCAGTGGCCAGACATACGATGTGCAGGCGACGACTTGTGCTGCGAAGAGGCCCACGGTGTCCAGGGAAGCGTATATCTTCACGATTCGAGGCAAGGTATCTGTAGTCGCTAGCAGTTTTCCCGGCATGTGTAGCCTGCGAAATTGGTATTGCATTATCCTGAGTGACAGTCTCTGAATGCGAGGTGGCAACCTGCCCAGCTTCATCTTGCCCAGGAGTGAAACGAGCGGCAGGTGGTCAGTCTCGATGTCGAAGTTAATGCCGCGGACAAACTCTTCAAACCTTTGCATAAGCCATGACGTTGCCAGAGACTCTCGGTCTAGCTGTAACGCTGTTAGTCACAGTCAGTGACCTCGAAGCTAATTCGACTGCGCAGCGCTCTCCCGAGGATTGCATCTGTAGCAAGACTGCACCGAGTCTGAACGAGCTGGCGTCTGCAGACACTGTAGTGGGGTACGACGAATGGTACTTAATCCATGCAGCTGTCTGATGTCAAGAGGTCTTTAATTTTCTCGAATGCAGTCTTTTTGCTCGTGCTACCACACCCAACTTGCGGACTTGCTCAACAAGGCTCTGATGGGTACAGTGACGTCCGAGATGTGTGGTGAAATTCTAGCGAGGTTTTTCGCCATTCCCAGCAGTCCTATAATGCCGGCGGCGTCAGTCGGAGCTTCCATGGATTTGACCGCTTTGACCGCCTCGGCAGTTCCAAGGAAGGAGACTTCGGATACCCGAAAACGACATTTGCCCTGGTTAAGTGGGAGGCCTGCTTTTACAGGGCAGGACAGCCCCTGTCTCAGTCTAGCGTCGTGCTCTTGGCGGGTGCGTCCGAAAACCAGAATGTCATCTATCATATTTGCAACTACATCTTGGCCCTCCAGGATCTTTGACATCTGTTTTTAGAAGTATTCGGGCGCGGAGGTGATGCCAAAGGGGAGCTGGCCAATGCAGTAGCGGTCAGATGGGGTAAGGAACGCCATGAGCTCTTGGGAATAAGCCGAGAGCTTATCCTGGTGGAAGCTCGCAGCCGCATGGAGCTTTGAAATAACTGTTGTGTCACAAGGAAGCCAAGGGATTGCTCCACAGTTGGTAAAAGATGACGTTCACGGAGGACAACTTTGTTCAGTTTCGTCAAGTCAACGCACAGCCGGTGGGAACCCTCGTCTTTCCTTACGACGACGAGACCGGGGCACCATCGTGTAGGCTTATCGACCCTGCGAATCACGCCGGCGCTTTCCAATTTGTCCAGCTTACGGCCGTAAATCTCGAGCGATCGAATGGGGCTCCTGTGGTGGACACCTAGCGAGAAGGGCACATGGTATCAGGTTTCAGCCGGGTGATGTACTCGTCTTTCAGAGTGCCCCGTCTATTGAAGAGCTGGGCGTGCAGCGTTACCTTCGGGGTCTTGAGTTCGTCAAGAAACTTTACTACTTGCAGGGCTTGCAGTGTAGGCAGTCCAAGAGGAGGTACACTGAGAGACTGTATGACGTAGAGGCGCTGGCAATTTGTTTTTACTTGCCCCCGAAGTCGTGCCAAATACGAGCCTTGCACGCGAAGTGGCTGTCCTCCCGGGTCGGTAAGCGAGCTTTCAACTTGGTCGAGCTTGGCGAGCAGCAGAGGGAAATCGCTGGGCACGGCCGATACTTCGACGCCGGAGTCTACCTTGAACTGCGCCGTATAATTGTCAACCATAACGTCGACGAATTTTGCCGTGGCGGCCATCCCGACGGCGTACAAATGGATGAAGCCAAGCTTGTTTTGCTTGTTCTTCTTCGAGTGACACACTTCATGAAAGTGGCCTTTCTTTTTGCAAAAGTTGCAGGTGGGGCGTGGAGCTGGACAGTCCGAACATCGGTGAGGCGCGCGGCCGCAGAATTCACATGTGGACGGCTCGCGGGCGCGCTCTCCATGTGGCTGCCGCACAGTAGACTTAGCTTCGGAACGACGAGAGGTGGGCTTGCCCGCTTTTGCAGCGTCAAGGTTGAGCTCACGCGAGCTCTCTCTGTGGTTCTAGGAATACTTTTTTTATTGGCGTCTTCGAATTGACGGGCCTGAGTCCATGCCTCTTTGAGCGTCAGCTTCGCCTTTCAGCACAGCTGGTCCGAGAAGCGAGAATCGCCAAAGCCGATGACGAACCGGTCATGTTCGAGTCTTTGCTCGACAGCAGCTGACTGCTAGTTACAGCGCTTCACCATCCTACACAACTCTGCCTAGTACGTACCGGCGCTTTCGTCCGGAGCTGGGCGCTTCGGTAAAACGGTGACGACTCGTAGAGCTCGTTGGCCGGGTTCACAAAATGCCCAGTCAAGTGAGCAGCAACGACTTTGTATGAGGCGAGTGACGGGGCGTTGAACGCAAAAGTCTCTAGGAGCGGGCGGGTGTACCAGCGCATGCACTACAGTAACGAGCGTACCTGCACGTCTTCCGACGATTTTGTGATCCCCGAAACCACCACGTAGTTTTCGTAGCGGTGAAGGAAATTGCCTATGTTGCAAGGTTCGCGAAGTCGAACGAAGCCGGTGGCTGGTGGTTTACGCCGTAGGGCCGTTCCACGTGCTTACCGCACAGCCACAACGCACGTGCCGGGACCCCCGACCGTACGCAAGCGGGGGACAAATAAGCCAATTGGTGACGCTCTTGTACCCTCTGCACCTTCGTCAATTGGATTATTTTCATAACGTGTTTCCGTAGCTTGCTAAAATCCTATATTACTGCGGCTATCACGGCCACATATCTCGTTTCTGCCGAAAGCGCCAGCAAGATGAGTGCCGGGGTTACGACGTGCGTGAACGGAATTGGTCTACTGGGGCCTCTCATCAAGGTCAGCGTTATTTGTCGCCTCCGCACCAGTCTCCATCTCCACCAGCATCGAATGCACCGCGTAACAGCCGGAACACGAGGCGCCGCTCGCCTTCGTCCTTCCATTGTTCCTTTTTTCCACTTCGTCCCGCCTCATTCTCCTCTGATAGTCGTTCGGAAAACTAAAGTGATGCAGTTTGTGGAGGAAAAGCTGCATTCTAATTTAGAAATGAAGTTCTTCTATCTGGCCCGTGCAACATGGTTTTTGTGGAAGTGGAAGGAGTGCTTGTCGATGCTTTGGTGAACACGGAAGAGACATTTTCTGTTATACTTGCTGATTTCTGTGAACGACTAAAGAAAGTAATAATGACTTACGATGGTCCCTTGTTAGTTTCTGCCCAGAGGAACATCATTCGCCTTTCCGCGTTTTGTACTGCGTGTTTTCATTGACGGCATTCTACATCATGTCCAGTTGGCTCTACTATCAAAAACTAATTTTAGGGTGGGATTTTCTATCATCTGCTTCCACGGCTATCTATTGTGAACAACGCGTAGGTGCACCTTACTGACACTGACCACATGCTTGACGACGACAATCAGAAGCCACTTCGTGTGGTCGCTGCAAAAGACATCGAACTGCCCCCACTACAAGAGCTAATTGTCACTATTACGTCCAACGACATCTACCACCGTGATGCATTCGCCTGCCCGTCACCACAATGCGTTTGTGAAGGCATAGTTATTCCGTCCAGTGTCGTTCGTTTTCACAATGAATCTGCACGCGTAACCGCCATAAACTCTACACCAGAGAATATCCTACTGCCACAGAGCACTACTGTGGCCCGTGCTGCCGACTACGAGACTGTATTTCTTCATGCCATTTCAGGCCATCGCATCCAATGACCCTTCCCTCGTTGAGCATGCTTCTTTCTCCGCCTTTACCATTGCCATCAGAAGTGACTTGACAGCTTCACAGACGCAACAGCTACTTGCACTGTTACAGAAACACGTAAATTCTTTCAATATTTGCTCGTCTACGCTGGGCCGCACTACTACTACAGCATATCGAATTCAAACAGTTGGGACATCTATCGTACTCTGCGAACCCTACCGTGTGCCTCTAGCTGACAGAAAAAAAATATAGCAGAAAACGTTGCTGACATGCTTAGACGGGGAGTCATCCATCGGTCATCCAGCCCTTCGTCGTCTCCGATTGTTTTGGTCGGTAAAAAGGATGGCTCTGTGCATTTTTGCGGGGACTACAGGGCGCTCAATAAGATCACAAGCAAATATATGTACCCAATGTCACGCATTGATGGTGCCCTTGATTTTCTACAAGGCGCGGCATTCTCTTCAAGCCTCGACTGGCGTTCTCGGTACTGGCACATTTCCGCATGAAGGCGATAACGAGAAAACAGCGTTTTCTACCACCGATGGGCTATACGAATTCAACGTGATGCCTTTCAGTCTCTACAACACGCCCGCGACTTTTGAGCACATGATAAACACCGTGCTGTACGGCCTTGAATGGACAACTTCCCTTTACTACCTGGACAAAATTGTTATCTTTTCATCAACGTTTCCTGAGCTCCTAGAACGATAGGTTCATGTTCTGATTTGCCTTGCCGGCGCTGGTCTCCAAACAAACTCTAAGAAATGCTCTTTCGCTAGCAAATCTATCAAGGTCTTCGGACTTGTTAGCAAAGGTGAAATTCGACTCGACCCTGACAAGAGTGCTACGATTGTTCACTTTCCGCGTCCCAAATGATTGAAGGAGCTGCGCAGTATTCTTGGCCTCACCTCGTATTTTTGCCAATTTGTCCAGAACTTCACCTCTATAGCTGCTTTATTACACCAGCTACTTGCTTCCAACGTCCCCTTTCTGTTGTCTCAAGAATGTCAAACGGCAGTCGACCTTCTGAAGAGTGCCCTCACGTTTGCACCAGTGCTCTGCGATTACGACGAAGCCGCACTGACTATGCTTCATACCGATGCTAGTAGCCATGGTATAGGAGCCGTTCTTCTACAACGCGACATGTCTTCACTAGAGAAAGATGTTGCAATGCCAGTCACGTACTCTACTCACAACTGCCGAGATGAACTACACGATAACTGAGCAGGAGTGTCTGGCTGTGGTTTGGTCGTGGCAGAAGTTTCGTTCCTAGCTCCACGGTCATCACTTCACAATTGTTACGAACCACCACGCCTTATGCTGGCGTTCTACACTGAAGAACTTGTCCGGACGCTTAGGTCGGTGGATACTACGCTTGCAGGAGTGTGACTTTGACATAAGTCTGCAGAAAACTTAAAGACGCCGATGCTTTATCTTGTTTCCCGCTTCCTACTCCCCGAATTTGTTCTTCGCGCCATAACCCTGCGCCATGGCACTCCTCGTGTTCTGCTCAGTGACCGTTACAAAGCATTCCTGTCACAAATGGTACATGAAGTACTGCGCGCTTTTTTGGTACTACTCACAAGACAGCTTGAAGCT